CAAAGCTTGGACGACTCAGTGTGAAATTTACCGCAGAAGATGTAAAATAGTCTTTCAAAGGCGAGACGGCACGTGACGTGGGAGCGTATTTTAAAAAAAGGCCGATCAGTCTAGCAATGTACGCCTCCCTTGACAAATGTTACAATGAAAATGCCTTTTCTGAATGCTGACGACCTAGAAGTCTCCAGAGTTTCACTTTCCTAATTGGCTTTATAGAAGCAAACAAATTGCTTCCACACTAATACCATTGTGCCGCTCCAATTGAGCATGAACTTCTCAGTGCCTCCATGACTCGATGAATGTGTGACTTATGAACCGATTTCAACTGGGCCGATAGGACCAATAAAATGGAATTCTCTAAGTTGGGTTAAATCTGTATTTCCACAATGTGCAGTGGGTGAAATACAGCATAGGGATGAGAGGCCTTATGGCTCGTTGAAGTAAACGATTACCAGCGTTTACAAAATGCGAGCAAATCCCTTCGGCTACGCGATACACCTCGTGTCTAATTGACAGTGGGGATTCTATGATGCATTGAACAGCGCAACTAAACAATGGCCAGGGCACAATTTACAAACATGAACTTGAAGTCAGAGTTAACTTGACCTCAATTTCTTTGCCTTGCCACAGGTGCCATGACACCTTGCTTTGAATAATCGCACCTTAGATTTCCTCTAGCCGTTGGCCTCAAAACTATGTGGTGCGAGGACACAAGTCAACAATTGGGGTCTACTATGTTACACGAAGGGAAGACATTGACATGAAAACGACTTAGCCATTACCTACGGGTGACTGCCATCTCTTTCTGAGGATACCCACTGACATTTCACGAAATTATGTCTGACCTACGATGCTCCAATGTACTTAGTGAGCAGTGTGCACAAATTGTCACTTGTTGGGTTGAAGGGCATAGTTTAACCAATCACGTAGCTACTAGGGGCTTATTTTCCCTAGGTTAATGCTCCCAGACCGTCTCAATAAAGGTAATTTTGAAATATGTATGTTCGATTGGTACTTAAATACCGATAAAGACACAAAAGACTGCTCAAATCCGAAAAAGGTTCCAGTCTCAATCCCACATCCGATGTACCATCAACAACCGCTACGAAAGTGACACAATGGAAAACTCAGCAAATCGGTTTACACGTGTAAAAGAGCTACTAGTCAATGCAAACTACTCGTAGCAACAGCTATTAGTAGCATAGGACAGAATATCTAAACTCAGGAAATGGTTGCCAACTTACGCAGTTACCGCTTCCATAACCCTGGACGACGTCTCACGAATATTCTTGATCAAGTGGCCTGCGCTGCCTTTGAGAAAACCCAGAACCCCACTGGACGATCGCTCTGGCACTTCGGATGAGTCGCCGGAAGAAATGGATCCATTGGTTGGGGAAGGTGGACAGTGACGCCGGGCGTTGCGGGAGGCATTCACATTAAGCCCTACTGAGGATCGACTCGGAGGAGCTGAGGATGGAAGAGGAGGAGCCGACGCCTCAAAGGAGGAGGGAGTGGAGGGACTGACGGTGTGCGATTCTGAAAGGGGAAGTATTCGGATTCCTCTTTGTCACTGCCACAACAAATCACGAACACCTCCTGGAATCCGAAAAGCCGTCTTTTGAAAAAAACGTACTTGACTACAATGCGTCGTCAGCTCAATTGGAGCAGTGAATAGTTATAGAAGTGAGATGACATTCGCCTGCTTAATCGATGTTTAATCAACTTCACAAAATTTGGTTCAGCTGTACCCACTCTGATGAAAACCAGTAAAAGGGGAACTTCGCTGGAACTGGTCTCCTCACGATTTCCTCCATGCAGTCAGAATCTGCGGCACTTTAAAAATATAATCAGCGACTGAAGAGCTTCGACACAGCAATGGAATGCACTATGTTAGAGTAGGTCTGAAGGCCTTATTGCCTCTCTCATCAACAAAGCAGTGGTTGTTGCAGTAGAATCAAGTCCCTGCATCAAAACCATCACCGTTGGTACAATCTTTCATTGCAACATCGGGCTGTATAGAGGAAGGGCAGTGAGGTTTCAAAACAAATTCTATGCAATGAGTACGAAGAGATCAGAGGAAGGTAGGTATGTAGTTTGCAGTATCTCATTGATAATGACCTGACACAACTCTTACGGTCGGATATTATTAAACTGCCATGGTTCAGCCAGCCACTCCCATATGCACTGCAATTTAACACCTATCGCAAACCCGCAATTGTGGAAATGTTGAACCAAAACAGCCCATAAAACTCCAACCCATCGATCATAGGAGCCAAAAAATAATTCGGTGTCAGGATTGTAGAGAGAATAAGCACATTAAAAGAGTTGGAGAGTTCATTACCGGCTGATGCGCCAACATAATGAGTGTGGAACCGGTTAGCTTAGGTTCGTAAAACCAAGTGAAAGGTAGCCTCGACATAGAAACTTCTAGGCCACCTACGATCAGAAAAAAGCTTTTGAATTGGGAGTTCTCTCAAGCAAAAGAACATCACAAAATTCATTGGATCTCGTTTCATTCTACACTTCGAAGTACGCGTTGTCACTTCTTCAACAATCTGTTTTCTACATTTACATTTACCGATTTGAAGATCAAACAACTAAGTCAGATGCCTCTACGCCTAAAACGACACAAAAAATAATCCTTAAAAAAACCTCAAAATAGCAGTAATAAGACTTAAATGGTGAAAACTACTTTAACAAAACTGAAAAATTGACTTTGCAAAATGCACTGCAGGAAAAGGAGTGCATATTTACTAAGCTCCCTTGGGAGGCATCCAAGATTGCTGAATTGGGGAGCAAAGAGCTTTGACCTTATTTTGGCGAAAAAATTCAAAGCAAAAACCTGCACTTATAAACCCAATCTACAAAAAACTCATTCGTTTCCCTGCAACATTTCTACAAATGATTATTACCGTCTTGGAAGGTGAAGGTGAGGTCACGAAATACAACGACAACTGCAACACCGAGAGTTTAAAAGAGCCCCAACAGCGTGATTACCGCCATTTTGTTGGCGTCAAGCTTAGCTGACTAAACTACTAAATCAGTTGGAGAGATTATCAACAAACAGTGCCAACAAATCATTTCAATCACTTCAACGATATCACTGTAAAAATGCAGTAACAACTCACTCGCATGATATCAAAACAATGAGTAAGATGTAGAGAAAGCAATAGGATCGAGGTTTAATGGGTTAAACAAATGAAATACGAAGTAAACTCACTAAATTTGCACAAATTTATGGCGCTTCCAATCGAGCCCTCATACACCTTACTACAACTGTTGCGAAACCTTTCTCATGCCAAAATCAGGTGAATTAACTCAAGTGACACTTTAGAAATGGGAACTTTTACGCCAGACGAACGTATTAAGCGGGCGATTAGCATAAAGGGTGCTACAGGGTCTCCCCATTGGTTGATACCGCGACCAATGAATTATTGACCTTGAAGATGACCAATGAGTGGAGCCATCAAAGTGATGCTCGGGCAACCCCATAAACCCCCTTCCTTTTCAAAGGAAATAATACAAAAGCATAATTCTTCAACCAAAATTTGCTCGATATATCTATTTGCAGCGAAGATAGAACTGAGTTCGAGAAGTCAGCATGAAATCTACTCCTGTCTCACAATCAGCCATTAAGATTAAGGAAAGAGTTAGCTCTCTGTAGTGGTAGAGAGCAGTTGGACAAAGTGAGGTAAAAGCCCGAAGACATGAGATTAATCACTGTAGCAGAGAAAGACCAATGCCAGCTGCGTAAGGTCGTGCCGCCTATCAGGCATTATTCACACCAACTTACGCACCTTGAAGCACTAAGTGAGCAAACATAGCATCGACTGCACCAAAACAGCCCACTCATTGCATACCACTTCATTCCTCAAAGACTGTACTCTCAGATAAATCCACTGCCATAAAATCAGCCCGGAAACAAAAAAAAGTTATAAACACTACATACTTGAAAAATTTTGTCAAAAACTACCCGAACTAGACCGATCAAACGAGTCCTCCTCCTACGAGGCTGTGCAAGACTTAGCACTAACAGGCAGTTTAGAAGTAAAGCTGTTTCTTTTTTACCTACTGAGGGCGCAAAGTTTTATGACAGTGGAGTGCGTAGCCAGTCCCTGTGTTGCAGTGAAAAGGAAATACGTGCAATAATCGCAAATACCACAATAAAATGGTCCCATCAACTTTCAGCAGTCATTTGATTCTTATCATGAAAAATAAAAGGCAATCCCACTTTGTCAAAAACTAGAAGCACTGACAAGGCAATTTTGTTACCTGAACGAGAAGTTTCCCCGCTCAGTCATACAACTTCAGGAGAGTGTGATTATGCGAGAAATAGAGCCGTTTTGTTAAGTCTCCAACTATTACCCAACTCAAAAGTAACCTCCCAATCCTGCCTACACGATTGAGAAGAAAAGCCTCGACCTCCTGTGACCCACCCATCAGGTGGGAGTTTGAGACAGAATGCATCTAACAAATGCCTAAACTATGAGTGCCTTTTCGGTGAGTACTCACGTTTGATGCCTTTCTCAAACCGTGACGACAAAGAGACATTACTTATCCCAGACAATGATCATCCCAGCTTCAGTGCGATCTGGCGACCATTGGTCATCCAAATTGGTTAAAAATGTGCGGTCAGACTTGATGAAGAGGGGAAAGGAAAGGGAATGGAGGAGAACTAATTTGATTATCTGTTGAGAAAAAAAGAGATAAAAGGACTTAAAGCACTGATTGGAGGTAAGAGAAATGGTTGAAATTGGCTTAAACGGACGGGAAGAGACTAGTACGCCTTAGGAATCTTCTCGGGTCGGAGACTTCCACGCGATCGTTTCATCCCAAGGGGTTAATGCTTTGTCGCACCGTTGCATCGAATGAATGTCCTAGAGGGAGAAAGTCCTCCACTTCAGTGTTACTGATATTTTGCGTGTAGCGTGAAATGGATGAGTCCATTTCCTTCCCTGACAGCTGCCTGCCCATCATCATCACCAACGCCAACAAACACTTCAAATTCAGTTGTTTGTCATCCAGAATTGACATTTCAAAAGGCCACACTCTCACCAACATCCAGAAGTGATCACAATGTTGCAATGGTTCAGCGGAAAACGATCATAGAGCTCCCGAAGCCTCGAAGAGCATCAGAGGACAGTGTCCTCCGACTCGCCACAATCACCCACACCCCTCTTCCCTCAACCCAAGCCTGAAACGCAGCTGAATGGATCAAAAAGGCGTCAAGACACGCACACACAATAGCAGGAGGCGCACAAGTCCGGTCACTTGATTGTTATAAACCGAGAAGAGTGTAATCGACAATGTGGTTAAGCAAAATTACTCTTTCTTCCCACATCCTCAACATAGCTATGAACAAGCTATGCTTTGGTTGATTAAAAGCTTCAGCTTGCACGGACTACGGCTTTTCTCGCCCTTTGAAACTGAGAAATGGAATCCCCCACGCTGAGGATTCAGAGGCGACTTCAAAGAGGCACACGAAGACACTTCGCATTGGCAAAATACCTACTCCAAGTTCTTTAATTACGGACAGTGACTTTAGACGACAGTTGACTGAAAGGCACACCCATCAAGTTCATCTCATGGGCAGCATAAATGGGAGCAAACTTCTCAACATTCAACCGTTAAATTGATCTCAGTGAAGATACAACAGTTAAGTCACCACTTTGTCTGATGGAAAAGGTGGCTATCTGCTAGCCATATCCCATCGCCTAGTGTCAAGTCTAAGACATGCACACAATGGCACATGGCTCAGTTTATCACACATTCTAGCTAATTTGCCATTAGCGATGGTAGATAGAATAGACGTATGATAAGTGCAGGAGTGCTTTATCCCTCTACGTAAAGGAACTATTTATTTTAGAAGCAGTGTCAAAATGAAAGGCAGCAATCAATAGGAGGATGGGAATGGATCACTGTGTGAAGCAGATCAGAGAAGGATGGCCTTTTCGCAACGCTGAATGATGGTTTGACATCCCCTTACCAGGCTAGAAAGTAGTCTCCCAGCACCCCATGCAAGTCAGCCTGATTTGACAAGTTGAAGAAGGCAGTGTTGACACATCAAGCGTTGGAGAATGTTTAACTTTTACCAGTGTCTAACGGACAAGTGCATGCAATCCCAGAACAAAACCATTCATAGCCTTGAGACTGCATAAAGAAGCAAATAGCAATGGGAATCGCTCGAGAAATTCAACACCACGAACAGAATCTGATAAGTGAAGAAAATAATGCAATTACCGAACCCCTAGATGCGTAAATTTTGCAGTTTAATGAACGCCACGCATTTATAGTGAGTGCTTATGGGAGAAACTCATTCGACTTACCCACTGCACCGGCATGCTGGATTAAACATTTTGTTTACGATTAAGTAGGTAGTCTTAACACATTCTCAACAGGTAAGGGGTTTCAAAGAGACGTCCACGATGAACTGATACAGCAATCCCGATGGAAGAACAAAGCACTCTAAATAAACCAGTAACGTGAGACTTGGAAGCCGTTTATTGTCAAGAAATGTGGAGGAGGCATGAATAAGTAAGGATAGGACGTAAGCAGGGTTGTATGGAGCAGAGGAAGGATTACCTTTTGGTTTCGCGCAGTTTCGCAATCGTCGTTTCACCTCCTCATTGAAGATGATGGATTCGAAAGCGGGTACGTTTAGAGTGGTGGCAAGGTCGGAGAGTTCGCCGTAGATGGAGTTTATATTGGGTCGTTGGGTCGGATCAACCAATAGCATCTGGCCTAAGTGGGGGGAAAGGGGAAGAACAGGCAAGTGAAGACGAAAATGGGCCTAAAATAAGTTCATCCAGAGACAACTGTTTTCTCCACCCTGATTGCCTGCCAATAAATTCATCACTTTGCCATGACTAAGGCAGTTGGTCAACGTAAAATCGTCGAATTATCAAGGCGTTGAAAGGCATGAAAAATTAAATGAACAGTGGAGGCCATAAAGATGACAATGTTGCGTGTCTTGGTGTCTTTATGCGAAATAAAACAGAAGCAGAAATCATAAAGAGTGGGAGATAATTCCTGTTGAGCCGAGTCCTTCATTGTGCTCAAATAGAAGCCAAAAAAATATTCTCCTCTTCCCAAAGTAACTTGTAAGTAGAGAGAGAGAGAGACTTTAGGCGAAGATATAGGCGAATGTGCTCACACAGTTGTCCCTTAATAAAGTGCAAAACTAATCAAACTCAACTTAGAATGAATGAAGGTGAGAGTCAGGTAAAGCAAAGGAGATATGATTCGACACATTTTTATCTGCGTGCTTTTACGGTAGGAATCGAGGCGCCACAAAAATCCGCTTCAAACGGTCACCTAGGCAAAATGATCGCCACGGAAATGGAAAAGTCTATTCTTGTACAGCAAATAAGATTGGACCCCCCCCCTCAAGGCGGATGCAGTGCTCTAGAAGCATGAGGTGCTTTGGGGCAGTCAACCATGAATGTATTTAGGTGGGAAGATTTAGAAGGTAAATTGCCTCCACCCACAGCCTAATCGATCAGTCAACAAAAAATTCCCTTTTATTTGCGGAGACTTGAAGGAATAACAAGCAGACTGGAGACCCTCTAAAATTTCTTGCATGAGGTGATGCAAAATACCCACCACCACTCCAATAACTTTCATCCTTATGCCATTTCAGTCTTAGATGCTGTTAAGACAACACAAAGCTCTTCACTTTTCCTAAACAAAAAACGGAAGCCATCCATCTCTCCATTATTTACCTATCCCTAGAGTGTGTTGGTTCTGCTACAGCACGCTCCAATTCCCTCAAGTTCTACTTTACAACAAGACTAACAAGAACCCAACCTCCACCCAGTTATGGAAATGCGTTAGATCCACCTCATAAGGTAGACAAAATAGAATCAAGCCTTTCAAGTTCAACCAACAAGCCAAGAAATGGGAGCTCAAAGTAGAGGAGTAACGCAATTGCACAACAGAGGATCTAAATTTTGCAACCTCGGAGAGCTCGGTAACTCAAATCGCCTACACTTTTGACCTCTAGATAAGGGCATGGAGAAGAGACACAGAAAAGTTCTTGCTCTAATACCTTAATAGGTTAATTTATAAGAAAAGAGCAGTAAACGACTTGATAAAAGGTTTGACTTGAGTTGTGCAAAACTTACTCGTAGGTGAACATGCTTCCCCCTCTGTTCTTACATTTCTTACCACCGCACTGTCGCAGATCACATGTTAAGTGACCAAAAGGAAAATACCCATTGGGTAGAAACGGCAGTGAACCCGAATAGGTTCTCCTTTGCTCATAGTAGTATCGAGGTAATCTCGACCTTCGAACTGTATTCCTCAAATTCAAGTACTCCTGAATAAGCGCCAAAATAACTACCAAATCTTTTACCCAAGTAACAAATTACAAACTGGTAATTTTGGGTCGCTTAAACGAACAAGGTATGAGGGTAGAGAAAAGTACGATTCATAGACGATAGTCCAGCAAAAACTTGCAATGGTAAATAATGTGAGATTCCACTCATGCAAAATGTGATATGTGTGATCGCCTCAATGTATATTTACGAAATCCAACAAACAGGGAATCCAACCAACATACAACACAGAATTCATTTCCACAATACTTCAAAAGGTGTTAAATGAATGGAATTTTCACACAGAAGGAGCAGGACAAAAAATATGACTTCTCACCATTTCTTTAAAATGGATATCGGGTAGCTACCAATGTCTGAAACTAGACGAAAATAGCAAAACAGATGATTAGGACTTACGGATTAGATTATGAAAGGGTTCAAAGCCAGTATCACAGGGAGGAAGGTTGAAATTCGCGTTTAAGATGGCCAGTTTTGCCGAATCTTCGAAGGGGTGATATCCACAGACTAGGTAGAACATTATGCACCCGAAACCCTAAGCGCAATTACATAATATGTGATCATCTATCAAAATCTCAAGCCTAGATGCCTTTGAGAAATTAGGTGCGCGACATTCACATTTCAAATGTATGATTCGAAAGGAGAAAAGTTAATAAATTTTACAAAAATACAAGTGCTCTGATGGAATAAGACAACTCGTACCCAGATATCGAGGGCTTCGTTGATGGGATAGTTGAGATACAAATCCAACATTTCCGGTGGTCTATACATAGGTGTAGTAACTTTTTCCAGCTAAATGTCAAAAAATATTAAAATAGCAGAAATTCGCGAACATAATTTAACAAAACACGTCAAAATAAGAGCTAATCCAAGATTTACAGTGGAGGCGGATTAAGCTCTAAAAGTGGATTTCTGTATTTGAATGAAATAGAGCTAATTGACACTTACACTCTCCTGCACCCTACCACGTTCAACAGCCGACCACGTCACACAAGGGGCAAAAGTTTCAGTCGTAGCACTGCCAAAGTCACATAACTTTACTGTAAAAGAGTCCGATAGGAGGATATTTTCAACCTTTAGATCACGATGAATTATTGGAGGTGACTGCTTGTGCATGTGCTGAATGGCGCGGCTAGTCTGTGCGAGGATTTGTAAGACAATGTTCGGAGGCAAATGCTTGCCTTGATGAGGAGGAGGCAGGTAGTCCTTTAGAGGACCTCCTAAGTTAATTTAAAACAAGTATGCAGGAATGAGCAAAAGTGGAGAATCTTTCCCCAAAAAATGTTCCTACCAGAACACAGTTCCGTAACAATAAGGAACTCATTTCCAACATGTTTTCCTTTTTCTTTGCCAGCACAAGCAACTCCAAAGAACCTCATAATATTTGGATGTCCAGAGAGGCGTTTCTGACCAACCGATAAATAAGCACTTTAATGAAAGCATACCAGTATATCAATTTCGTTCATAATAGCAGAAACAGCTTCCTGATCTTGTGCAAAAAGTCGCTAAAGATAATAAGGTAAAAACAGCTTACCTTAATAGCGAACGACTTTCCTTGAGATGGATCATAACCCTCAAATACGATAGCGTAACCACCTAGAGTCATGTATTTATACATGTACATACCTTCAGCGATTACTCTCCGTATTCGGAAGTGGGTTTTCCCTATCTCAACTGACTCGCCTATAAGATCATGTTCTTTAACTCCAGGACTCGGTCCTCCAAAGTACCCGAAAGCGGATTTAATAAAATCCTCCATCTACCAGAACTTTAAAAGGAGCTCTGAAGAACATGGTGTAGACAAAGCACGTAGAACATGAAATGCTCAAAATGAATTATTCACGACTCTTGCAATAACTGGTATTTGAAGTGGGTTATCCTTCTTATTGAGTAGTAGCAGATATTTTTCTATGGCAAACTGCTTAAATTTTTGGTGCTTTTCGTTATTCGGATGCCAGTAACAGTTAACACTACCTCAATCGTCCATATGTGTTCAGCACTTATTTTTCAGTACAATTAGCTCACATTCTGGCCTTTGAAACCTGCCTGTATTTTAACGATATGCCTATTTAGCTTGTTAATGCATAATATACATTACAATTCTACTAATCCGCAAATGCAGGAAGCCAAGAGTGTACAAGCTTGCTTAATCAGCAGCACGAACAGTGCTCGTCCATAAAGATTGTGGTTGTAGCGTTCCGAGACTTTCTGACCCGTATTAGAAGTCAGTAAGTGTAGCTGGATACATGTATTCTGAAGGCGACTGGACAGATGGGCTAGGGCGTGGCCCGAAGGTCGGCCCACGTGTACAAGGGTCAGACAAACCCTAAAATGACCGCCAAACTTCATGTGGTCACATAGACAAAGTAACACAGTGGTCACCTTGCTGACCTCCCCGAAAGTTATTTAATCTCTTTTCTTGATGCTGCGAACCTGAACTAATTACTCGCCGACGGCATTAAATGGGCGCTCCTGTCAACGGTATTCAATTTCTGTTTGACAAAAGAGAAGACGGAAAGAAAATTTTACTTGACTAAAATTATATGGCGATGGCGTCCTTATTTAGCTTTTGATTCAGTGCATTGGGCAAATTTTGAAGTGTTGATTCAATTTCTTTAATTAAATTCTTCAGAATGCTACATACTCTTTTTGGCCTGGAAACAAGCCTTCCTAAATGGAGCGCATCATCTAGTGCTTGTCATTGGCAGGACTAGTTTCAAGCACCCTTTCATCATGCTGGCAGTTCATTTTCAATAAAACAGTTTAAACAAGCTGAATTAGACTTTTAATCAAAAGCTCCTTTTTGTTTCGATTTATGAATGTTACTGTTAACTCTCCTCCGATATATGCAGGTAAAAGGACCGATTTGCTCGCAAAATTACCTTCAATCAGTTGTTTTTTGCCCTCGATTCTGCAACTCTTTCCTGTAGACGTGTCACCGATCATTTACATTTTGCCATTCAACAGGTGCTTTGAATTATTAGCCCCTCAGGAAGTAGTTGATGCTTCGACAAGGCATAGCAGAATGCGTGAGACTTGTTAAAATATAAAATGGCTGAGGTGTCGCCGACACTAAATTAGAAGTTGCACCGTGGAGAGGAGACGGAGATTTGATTCTAAGCCCACAAGAACAGTTGCGAAACCTTAACGTATATGCAATGGGTGATTGCCACGCTTTACATAGCCCAACAGGTCTTAGGGTAGGTGATGGAAACCCATAAACTCACGTGCCTTATACCGGAGTAGCAACGCCTACTTTCCAAGCCCATTAAGTCTCTCAATCCACAACGCTAGGCAACAATGACGGTTTGCCTGACACTTGTGCAGATGACAATTAATCGGTCGTAGAATTAAAAAAGGGATGACCTTGAACCCTTGTTTTTAACCAATCAAAAGTGAACAAAGTGCAGCATTTTGCCTATGTTTAAGGCACTCCTTCTGGAGGATGCAAAGGTCCCATACACACGCAAAATCCCTCCAAAACACCCCTTTCTAACCCTTTTTAAAAATTTTAAGACTTTTTTTAAAAAATGGGTGGCGAGACTGCAGCAGTTGGATGTCGGTTAAACAAAGAACAGCTGCATAGTTTATATCCTCTTGGGAGACACAAACAAATAGGCTTACTAATGGAAGAAAATGCCCTCACCTACTTCCCGCCCTACGTTCATCTACCTCCTCGAGATGGCGAGGTCCAGATAACCAGGCTAAGCATTTTCTCCCAGAGTCACCCACTCCAGGCAATAGCAAAATTAATGACTAGCAGATCATTTGCCCTCCTTGCGGAGAAATAAAAGAGGTGACACTCAGCAAGGTGGCTATTTGCCAGTGTTAAGAGATCGTTTTGGAAATGAAACGACTAAGGCCCACAAAGAACCACCCCCTTCTCTAAATACCATCAACGTCCAGTGGCAAACATCACAATGCTGAGAGAGGAAGAATTCCTATTCTTCAACGGAAGCAGTTCCAAATATTTACAAACTGTCTATATAGTTAGTGTGTATACGGTTAGGGAATTTGGTGTCTGACAATTTGAATTAGTCGATCAAATTGTTATTGCCAAGTTCTGTGCTGTACTGGGTCAGAGGATGCACACACACACTCTCCACAAAGGAGACCTCCTTCGGAGGTCCCCTCTTTGTGCGTCCATCATTGCTTGCTGCGATCACCAAAGCACCGTCATCCGGCAGGGTGGGGGCTGACTTTCTGGCGGTAAGTTGTTCGTTCATCAGTAACTCCGTTTGGCCCACATTGCTCTCCAGACGTACACTACGCATTTTTGACTTGTCCAAACATATGAGAGAGGCAAATCCCATTCGAAACGTCTCACTGAAGAAGGCGTAGAGAATGGGATTGACACAACTGTTCCCATAGGAGAGAATATTACCAAGAATGTGGAAGAATCGAAACGAGACGGTTGGAATGTCTCTGTAAAAGTTCTGTATCATAAACACCACTTGAATGGGCAACCAACAGGCAGCAAATACAATGACCACTACAATCACCAATTTGGTGGCTTTACGCTTGCCTCGATGCGCTTCCACAGACTTGGACATCTTGGACACACGTCCACAAAGGAGTTCACGAAGGAGAATGCTGTAGAAGATGCAGATCATGGTCAAAGGAAATGCATATCCCAGAACAAAGAAGAGGCCATAAAATATCCGACTGTGGTACTGATTCATTCCGGTGACAATGCCCTCAGGTGTTATCTCAAATATCCAACCATTGTGACATATCGGGCGTTGACAACTTGTCACATTGTCCATGTCAATGGCGTAGATAATTCTCGAGTCGATGGAAATGGGTAGTGTTGCACCAGTTATAAAAATCCACATGATGATGACGGTAATCACTGTGTTTCTGGTTGTACGCCATACCCTACTTTGGAGGGGAAAGACCACAGCTAAAAACCGATCTAAACACATCAAAACGAGGGTATATACACTGCAGTAGACAGAGAAGTAAGTGGTGAAGAGGTAGAGTTTGCACAGCATCTCGGGTAGGGGCCAATTGCCTGTCACATAGACCATAGCCGTAAAGGGAACACAGAAGATAATAAACGAGAGGTCAGCCATAGCCAAGGAGACAATGAGAATGTTTGTACTGTTTCGCATTGTCGCGTAGCCTGTTATCACAATAATGACAAGGAGGTTACCGGAGAAGCCGATGATATCGACGATGCCAAAGAGGACAGGAACTACGTAACGCGTGAGGATGGTGATGGGATCGGACACATCCACGTCAACACACACTGGATAGGTGGAGAGATTGAAGGTGTCTGTTTCAGTCATGCCTCTTCGTCTGCCTCTCTATACCCTTAAAGTGGATGGAGAAATATCAACTTGGCATTCTAAGAGTCAAATCAGGCGTTGATGTAAGCTCGCCTCAGCACGTCAGTTGTCAGTTAATTAAATTTAAGCGGCACTGGAGGTCAGACGCAAATTATAGATTTGATTGACCGTTCTAGAGTGAAAAGGGGAAACGAAACTCATCTCAATTTCTATATTCTGCGATGACTTGCTTATTTGTGTCTTCTGATTAAAAAAAAAAACGCAATTATCCACACATGCATGCGAATAGAATGTCGAAAATAAGGCACTTAATTTGCCTCTGTCGAGTTGAAATGGGAAAAAACGGGGTGCATTAACAAAAAAAAAACTATTACGGTGGATGGCATAAACATTGCTCCCGGTCACTTTTGTGGTACGAAACAAGACCGCTTATGAATGATTCAATTTTTCTCAAAATGCAATTACCAGCAATCCACACGCGGCCTTGGGGGAAAAAAGGTGTACAAGAATTAGAGGCATCAGATGTCAGGTCTTTAAAAAGGGAGGTATTTTCAGAGGTTCACTTTTTAACAAAATGGTGATGCTGGCTGACTTGGGATGACGGGAAAACAAAGAAAACTACTTGTTCATGAATACCGAAGTTGCATCATTTTACTCGTCAGAGTTGCATGCTAGAGACAATAAATGTCGTGACTTTCGTGCTTCTCGCCTTCAAAGCTGCAGGGGAAATTCTTTGATAATATATGTATGCATTTATATTGCTTAGGGCTGCCGCCTACGCTGAGTCAAGCAACAAGCAGTAGCGGTGAAAATAGCCAGATTTTTAAATTTTGTAGGAGCTAATAACCACCATTTATGCGCACATTAGAAACAAAGTCCATCAATTTTACTCAGTAATTCTATAAAAATATGTCAAGTGCGAATACGGCATAATTGAAGGCTAACATAATAAGCAGGCAAATTACATCTTAATATTAATATAAAATTCCAAAATGTGACTACAAATACCTACCGGTTCTCACCACTTTATGCAAGTAAAAAGCCCCATTGAGTTTGTTTGAATAAGGTAAGATAAGAGCATCACTTCAAGCTTAGTTGTAAAATAGATTAGTTGTGTTAGTCTACAGTTTTGCGAAGTTTCAAGGCTATTAAGTCATTCCGCCTAAAATTTTGACCTCTCATAAATTTTAAAAGATAACTCATGAAGTAGCATCGAGTTTATACCTTACCGATGAGTATTTACGCGCCTCTCGACTACCAACAACATTTAAATGACATTCTTTAAGCTCGATTAGCAATGCACCACCTTATTTCCTATTGGTCCAAAGGGGGAGTGAAGTCACTGACCAATCGCACGATTCTGTGGGATATCATTAGGGTGGGTCATTATGTCAGTGGTTAAGGCGAGGCTGAAAGTGAATAAGGTGGCTTGTTTATCACTTCTCCCTACATTATTTTCGCCTCAAAAAGGTGTATGCAACATGCTCCCCACTATACCACAAAAGCGAACGCAGTAGCAGCCCAGTTGGTACCTAGTTTTGCTGGCATATCCGTTTTAAATCAAATTCTTACACTTTATAAGAAAGTCAGCAGAAGTCAAAAATAGTGTTTTATTAATTCTATTCGCATTGGGAAGTAGTCACTCAGAGGGTATACCCGAAATTCCACCTCATGACGTAGGGATGCGGCTTGGTTCGCCGTGTCATTCACCCGCGGCGGAGATTAAGAGAACATGAACACCAACTTTTTCCAGTGCAAAAGCAGAAACATTCAAATTTGTCATTTTCATCCTCTCACTACTTTCGGCTACCAGTTTTGATGCAGAGTAGTGCTTGTAATGGGAGATAAAATTTTAACGCTTAAAGCTGACACCATGTGCGCAGTAGTGTACTTTCATCATTATTAATCTGATATGCTAGGACCTTTTTTTTGTCCGAAGAGTGCACACGTTATACGCTTACAT